AGTTCCTGACACAGTTGGCTGCAGGGTCCGGGGTGTCCCAAAGCTTGCATTGGCCTGTTAGTGGGTAGGGCCAGGGCCCTGCTAGTTCCAGGGCTGCTGCTGGCCTGCTAGTGGGTGGGCTGTGTCCACAGGCTGCAAGGCTGTGGTTGTGTTGTGGCTGGTGTCTGCCCACTGGTGGGTGAGGCTGGTCCTGAGGTTAGAGCAGGCTCGCTGGAGGGTAGGGTCAGGGCCCACGGGGTTGTGGGGTCTCTGGCTGGAGAGCCCTGGGGGTCCTGTGTCTAGTGCCTGCGCACTGGTGTATGGGACGGGGTCCTGGGCCCTCTGGTGGGCAGGGCTGTGTCCAGGGGCAGCTGTGGACTCAGGGGGTCTTAAGGCAGCCTGTCTGCTGATGGATGGCACTGTGTGTATGCCCACTTAGTTGCTCTGCCTGAGGTGTCCCAGCCCTGGCACCTACAGGGTGCTGGGCCGCTGCGAGGCTAATCCCCAAGGCTAATAAGCTAGAGGGAGGATTCCAGAACGGGGCGGGCCAGCACCAACATCCAGATGGTAGAAGGAACTCTAAGAACGGCTGCCACCAGTGTCCGTGTCCCCAGGGTAAGCGGCAGACGCCTCCTGCCTCTCCAGGAGACTCTCCAAAGTCCGTAGGTACGTCTGACCCAGGCTCCTTTCCAATGACAGCTTCTGCTCTGGGTCCCAGAGCGTGTGAGGTTTTGTGCGTGCCCTTTAAGAGCAAAGTCTCTGTGTGCCCCAGCCGCCTGGCTCTCCCGAAAGTAAGCCCCTCTGGCCTTCAAAGCCAAATGCTCTGGGGACTCATCTTCTCAGCACAGCGCCCCCAGGCGGGAAGGCCCCAGACCTCTCACTCCTTTGGAGAGCCTCTGCAGCTGTAATTATTCTCCCATCTGTGGGCCACCCACCCAGGGCTACGGCACTTGACTCTCGCAACTTTGCCCCTCCGGCTCGTTTTGCTGCGGTTCCTTTCTCGTTTTGCTGCGGTTCCTTCTTTCTGTCTTTAGTTGTTGAAGATCTTTCCTGGTAGGTTCATCTTGGCTGATCTCCTGCCAGGGTTGTTGTTTTGTTTTGTTTTACCCCATTTTACAGATGAAAAAAATGAAGGCAGAAATAAATGAAGGTATGTAGCCTGTCACACAGCTAGTAAGCCGATGACCCAGGATTTGAACCAGGTTATCCGTCTCAAGTTAGACGATATGAATCGCATCTTGTAAATGGAAAAACTACACCTCGTTGGAGGCTACATGACTTGCCTCAGCCCCCTCGCCAATAAGTATGAAAAGCAGCTCTTCAACTGCCTTTTCACCCCACATGCTACACTCTCCCCATTACACCACCCGAAAACCCCTTGCAACTTCTCTAGAACAGCGTGGCCGGCCGTAAGTGGGTTTCATAAATATTTTTTTAAATCAAATACTTGTTCAAACACTTAAATGCTATTCTAAATGCTTTACAAACATTAACTCATTTAATCTTTGTAACAGAAGGAAACGTACTATTCTCATCCCCATTTTATTATTTATTTTTTAAAGATTTTTTTTTAATGTAGACCATTTTCAAAGTCTTTATTGAATTTGCTACAATATTGCTTCTGTTGTTTCTATGTTTTGGTTTTTTTGGCCACGAGGCATGTGGGATCTTAGCTCCCTGACCAGGGATCAAACCTGTACCCCCTACATTGGAAGGCGAAATCTTAACCACTGGACTGCCAGGAAAGTCCCTTCGTCCCCATTTTAAACATGAGGAAACTGAAGCCTGGAGAGTATGTCACATAACTGCTAACGGCAGAGCCAGGATTGGAACCCAGACAGTCTGTCTCAGAATAGGAAAAAGTCCACAGTTCATTGCCAAGTGCCTTTCTGCCCCAGGCATTACTGTAGGAGCTGGGCACCCAGCAGAGAAAAAATAGCACATCAACACGCCTGTCCTCCCGGCACTTACATTCCCTTGTGGAAAAGAGAATGAAGTCTAGATAAATTGGAAGACCTGGGAAGGATCCTCATGGGTGTGACTGAAACTGGGCACCAAGAGGGGAAGAATGGTTGACCTGTGAGAATGGGGCGAGGAGGGGGGCGCAGGCAGAGCAAGGTGAGGGCGCAGATGCTGAAGTGATTCCAGACAGCAGAAAGTTCCCTGCAGTGCACAATGGGCGCGTGAAATCGGGAGTAGGTGAGGGAAGGAAGATAGTCCAAGCCCCAGAATAGGACAGGCGTGTGACGAAAGGGAGGGAGGAGGACCCAGTGGCGGTGTCGCCCCTCAAGCACTGCTCAGGCTTAGTTGCCCGAGGCAGGCCTGGGGGGGCTTTGGAGTCGTGCAGATATATCTGTGTGTGCAGTAGGTGTCTCAGGTTTTGCAGCCCTGCCCTTGGCCACCCTGGCAGATCACTTCTGCCCCCTCCGTCTGTACCTGATGTTCTGGCACAGCCCCTGCATCTCCCGCCTGGCATCACTTCCATCAGAACTGCTTTCTCGAGGCTTGGCCACAGAGCACTTCCTGGATGAGCAGCTTCCTATCATCCAGTGTGAGGCTCTTCCAAAAAAAGATAGGAAACAACGATAGAAACAGGAAGCATCATCGGCAGGCCTGCAGGGGATATGTCTCAGCCCTCACACCTCCTTCAAATAGTAATAGAATCAGAGGGGAAAGTTAGAGAACATTTGCTGTGAAATCAGAGGACCAAAAGAATTGAGAGACTTGCCCAAGCACTTTGCAAGTTATAAACTGAGCCAACCCTGGACCATCGGCCTCCAGGCACACAGTCAAATTGATCTGAACCACGTCACAATGCCTCAAACCCCGTCTGCGGTCACTGTCCCAATTCTTTTATTTTTTTTTGAATTTTGCCTTTTTTTTTTTTTACATTTAATTATTTATTTATTTTTGGCTGTGCTGGGTCTTCGTTTCTGTGCGTGGGCTTTCTCTAGTGTGGCGAGCGGGGGCCACTCCTCATCGCGGTGCGCGGGCCTCTCACTATCATGGCCTCTCTTGTTGCGGAGCACAGGCTCCAGACACACAGGCTCAGTAATTGTGGCTCACGGGCCTAGTTGCTCCGCGGCAGGTGGGATCTTCCCAGACCAGGGCTCTAACCCGTGTCCCCTGCATTGGCAGGCAGATTCTCAACCACTGCGCCACCAGGGAAGCCCCCAATTCTTTATCAGTTGGTCATGGTGTGAGAGGGGACAGTGGAAAGAAAAGGAGAGACATGCCAGCCGATCCCATTAATATCACTACAGCTATTTATTATCACACCAGCTCACATGCCAAAAAACACTCTTAAAGTTGGACCATTAAGGGAAGGGTCCATGATTAAGAGCCACATCAAGGACAGAGTCAGAGGGCCTGGGATGACAGTTGTACTAAAAAAAAAAAAATAGCTACCGTTTTTGAGCCAGGTTCTGTGTTGAGGTTTCTCATGCATTACATTGTACCCTCACAATACCCCTGCAAGATGACTATTATTATTTTCAATTTACCTGAAGGAAGCTCAGGTTCAGAGAGGTGAAGTAACTTGCCCCAGGTCACACAGCTAGTCGGTGGTATGGCCAGAATTTGAACTCAGGACTGTTAGACTGAGAAGCCCAAGCTGGTTTCCAGCACACGCACTGTCTGTGAAATTTTAATCCAATGACGGTTGGTAGATCTGGGCTCTCTGGCATCTGGGACAAAAAGGAAATCATAGTCCTTAAGATACAACCAAAGAAAGCAAAGTAGATCAGAAAGAAATGATTTCCTAGCAGACAACCATTTAAGGAATTATTTCATGAGAGCTTAAATTGAACACAATCAGTTAATTACATCTATCTGGTTATTCATATGGAAATAAAGATGAAACTTCCATCCCCATCATTTTAGTGCTTGTATTGATCTTTCTAAAACATGTCTGTGGTCACATCATTCTCCCGCTCCAGACTTTGAAAAGCTCTCCATTGCTTCCATCACTGTGCTTCAAACTTGTAAAAAAAAAAAAAAAAAAAAAAGCAGGATTTTTTTCTTCAGATAAAATCTTACATGGAATGCTAAATACGGCAAGGAACAGAAGCAAACCTTTCCAAGCTAAATCAGCGAGTAAAGGAAGAATGGAGAGAGGCCGGGGAGGGCCGGGGACCCCAGACAGCTCCCTCCCCTGGGCTGGCCTCTCCCCTTGCCCAGCTACCCTCTCCCAAGAAGACTTTTTTTTTTTTTTGCGGTACGCGGGCCTCTCACCGTTGTGGCCTCTCCCGTTGCGGAGCACAGGCTCCGGACGCGCATGCTCAGCGGCCATGGCTCACGGGCCCAGCCGCTCCGCGGCATGTGGGATCTTCCCGGACCGGGGCACGTACCCGTGTCCCCTGCGTCAGCAAGCGGACTTTCAACCACTGCGCCACCAGGGAAGCCCCCAAGAAGACTTTTAACTGCCCTCCACAGTCTAGGGCCCCTTCTGAAATGTACTGATCTACCGACATGAGAAAATGCAAAGCTTTCCGCCTGACCTTCCAAGGCCCTGATCGCCTGGCCCTGACTGCCACTTCCCCGTGGTCCTTCCACATCCCTATAGCCCCAGCTCTCCACAAAGCACAGGCTTATGCGCCACCAGATCTCTTTCCACTCTTCAAACACATCCTAAATTCACCCAGAGCCTGCCCTCTGCCCAGCCTGTTCTAAGGCCCAGTAGCCAGCCACCCATCCAAACACTTTCTTTCCTTCAAGGAGCCTGCACTCGCCCCCCGTTCACAGCTGTCTTTCCTCCCCACCTCCCGCGCTGGCTCCTGCATCTCTGTTCGAGCTCCTAGCTCGCCCTCTTTGTCTGGAGTTATCTATGTACAAGTCTCATCTCTGTAAGACTGAACTTTCAGAACAAACCTTGGCTTTTCCAACTCTGATGACCCCCTGCCCCCAGCACAAAGAGAATAGGTACTGAATAAATGCTTACTGAGTTTCACCCCATCTCTCCCGACCTACAAAGAGTAGGTGGCTCCCAGGTAGATGGACGCGTGTGGACTTTGTCGTTGCAGCCCTGCCATGTGCACCAGTAGCGCCTGCGACCTGGAGGAGATCCCCCTGGATGATGATGACCCAGACAGCATGGAATTCAAAATCCTGGAGTTCTATGTCAAACACCACGTCTTCAAGAACACCTCTGCTGTCTTCTCACGAAAGCTCCCGAGAACAAGAAGTTTGTCCCAGAAAGGACCAGAGAGTTGGCAGGCAAAGAAAGCATGGACACAGGGACCGTGGACTTGCAGAAATTCCCAATCCACGGAGAAGGCCATAAACGTTGGCAAGAAAAAGTCGTCTTGGAGAACACTCTTTGGAGCAGCAGAGAAGGAGGAGGACTCTCAGAGCTCACCTCTGGATATCCGTTTTGAGCTGCAAAGTCCGGTGGGACCTCAGAGTGGTCCTCACGGTCGGCAGTGGCCGAGGTCCCTCTCCAATGTGGAACAGCACTTAGAGCGTGAAGGTAGGCTTTCGGGGATTCTTTCTCTCCCGCAGCCATGTGTTTCCCTTCTTTGTGCGCCTGGGGGTTCACCTCCTCCCAGCTGGTAATGGGGCCTTAGGCAAGGCACTCTTTGAACCTCAGCTTCCCAACCTATTAATACTCAATTCTAATTTCCCTGCTTTTCTCAAGACTGAAAAGAAAGGAAGAGGATAGCCGTGAAGGGTGATGGGACTGGTTTTCTGGCTCCACCGTCTATAAACTTGCTGCCCAAATCCCTAATCCTCAGTGCCAGAGACCCATATAAGAGAAATAGCCCCAGCCAGGCTCAGGCTGCTCTTCCTCCTGAGGGAAGTCAACTCCCGTCTCTGGGCCTCTGTGTTTCCATCTGTACAATGGCCTCTGAAGTGGATGGAAAGATCAGATAGCTGTACACAAAAATACTTTTCAAAGTACAAGCCACTCAAAAAACCACCAAGAAGAATTTTGACAAAATCTTCCTTCAGTGGTACAAAACACGTTGTACCGAACAAAACATTTTCATGAAAGGCTTTATCAGAATCGCCCTTCATCCACAAACCCTGGCATAACCATCTTCCTCCCCTCCAACAATACCTTGTGCCCAATGCCCAGATTTTAAAAGAAACCCCCCTCCTGCTGGGCTGATTGGCCCGTGTAACTTGTCAATAATTAGTCAACAGGTGGCAGTAATGTCTCAATTTTTAAACATTGTGATGGCTGGCTTACTTGGAGAATCACCCCCGCACAATGACAGCTTTAGATCATTCACTGTGATCAAGGAAACTTCCACTTCCTATCAGACTTATAGAATCTTAGGAGAGGGGAAGTTAGGGTCGCGATTACCTGGGGGAACTCCTCCTTCCCCCAGGGGTACAGCAGGCTTCTTCTACTGCGGGTGGTATCTGAGCTCTGGAGCAAACACAACAGTTTGGAGGGACCTCAATAGGCTTTTCTGCTTGTCCTGTTCTTTGGAGTTTGCTAGGAAACGGAAGATTTTACAGACTTTAACCTTCTGGCTTTCCTGAGAAAAATGACGTTCTGTATTTCAATATTACTGAAGTGTCATGTCACCTTTCTTATTTTCTAAAATTTCCATATCTCTGTGTAGATATATAGATATCCCTACAAATGTAGAAACGGTTACCTCCTAAAGAGGCGTAGCTTTAAGGATTTAAGCACAGTTGTTCCTCCCTTCTCACCTTCCTCTCTCCTTGCTTTCTTGTTTAGTTAATTATGTGGGTAGTTAGTTGGTTTTATGTTGGGTGTGACCCCAGAGGGACTCACGTTCTATTTCTATTCTGCCACATGTAAATCAGAGCTCAGCAGTTGGTGTCCTGTTTTTTTTTTTTTTTAACATCTTTATGGGGGTATAATTGCTTTACAATGGTGTGTTAGTTTCTGCTTTATAACAAAGTGAATCAGTTATACATATACATATGTTCCCATATGTCTTCCCTCTTGCATCTCCCTCCCTCCCACCCTCCCTATCCCACCCCTCCAGGCTGTCACAAAGCACCGAGCCAATATCCCTGTGCCATGCGGCTGCTTCCCACTAGCTATCTACCTTACTACGTTTGTTAGTGTGTATATGTCCATGACTCTCTCTCACCCTGTCACAGCTCACCCTTCCCCCCCCCCCCCCGGGTTCTTTTAACTGAAGGTCGCAATTTAGCCTGTGCTGCCATTTCCAGGACTCAGACACCAGGTTGGAGTGAGAACGATGAGGTTATGTCCCAAGACCAAAGTCTCATAGTAAGAGACCTTGGAATGTAGAAAAATGAATGTCAATACCAATTTTAGTAACACCAACCCGAGTTTTTGTGTGAATCTTTTTTTCTCCACAGCTATGACTCGCTACAACTTCAATAACATAGAGATTATTTTTCTCTCCCATAGAAGAAAACCACAGTTTGGCAGCCCAGGCTTGATCTACCAGTTCCACAATCTTTAAGCATTCCTATTCTGCCATCCCTCAGCTAGTTGCTTCCAACCTCAGTCACCTTAAAACCCAAGGTGGCTGTTGGGATTCCAGCCATCATGTCTACATTCCAAGCAGGAAGAAAGAGGAAGCAAGGGAAGGACAAAAGGGTATCTCCTTCCTAGATAATGCAGCTCCCTTTCAGAGAGCTTTCTTAAAACTGTACCCAGCTTCTTACATCTCAGTGGCTACTCCTTACTGCAGACGAGGCTGGGAAATGTAGTGCTGTCAGCTTCCCCTGGCATCTCAGGGATCTGTTACTAAGGAAGAAAAAGAAAGTGGATACTGGGTAGGAAATAGCAGTCTCGACCATAAGGAATTCTCTCACAAATGCCCTGCCTCTTCTAAAACAAATGCCTCAAGCCAAATGCCTCCCCCATCCCGCTCTCCTGCTCTCCTTAATCCCACAGGGAGCCCCCAGAATAAACTCAGAAGGATGGGCAGCCTTTCTGTTCTCTCTCCACACCCACCCAATGTTCCCTTGCCTATCAGATGGGACCAACTCTGATGAGAAGGGAATTTTTTTTTCCAGTTTTTTAAATTAAGGTATTAGAATGGGAATCTTAACTAGAGCTAATTCATCTGAGTCAAAATGAGGTTGCTTATAGTTTTTCCTGCACGTATTTCACCTGCATCCCTCCAGTCCGCAGAGACAGATACACATACACAGGTTAGTCAGCTTGGGTACCTCCACGTCTGCTGGGGGCCTTGTGATTGCCCTGCCACGTGGCGGGGGCTGGGGGCTGGGGAGCGACAACCTTGGGGGCCCTCACCTGCCTCCTTTGAGGGCAAGGTGGGCGCAGTGTGACTTCCGTGGAAGAGAGCGTGTTAATCACCCTGCAGGCCGCACAAGGTTGCAGAGAGGAAAGCACGTGGAAGCTTTCCTCTCCCATCTCCTGCGGACACAAGGGAAGGCTCCCACCGGTTTTGGGATCCAGCCTCTTGCCACCTCCTTCCGTGGGTGGCCAGCATTCACGAGCAAGCCGGTTGGACTGCAGTAAGGTGATTTAAAAGTGGAAAGTACTTGTGGTTGGGTTATTAAAATGGGAAGGAAAAGCGTTGATCCTTCTCCTTGACCTCTCCAATTTTTCTCTCTCTCTAACCCACTCCTGATCTGTTTCTGAACCCTATGGATGGAGCATCATGAAAAATGTAGCTTTTTAAGGAAGCCATTAGGCCTTTTTTTAAAGGAAGGCATTGTGGACAAAGTGTCAGTTGCCATGGCCTTTCAGTGAATGCCCTGGGGGGTGAAGGGAAAGCACCGGGGCGCCATGTGACGGGCGAGTCCAGGGAGAGAGGTTCAGGAACCACCTTGGCAGCTCCGTAGGAGGTCAAACCCTGCCTTGCATGTGACACCATCCCTCCCCGGACCCAGGCCTTGCCTCTCTTATCTATCCTGATTGACAAGGTCCGGGTGTTCCCCTGGGCACACCAACCTTCTGGCCAAAACCCCACTCTGTCACTTTCGTCAAGTCTCATGAATTAAATACTGTTGTTCTTAAACATTGCATGATACGACCGCTCCGTGTCAAAGGCAGAACTTGTACGAGCTTCTGAAAGTTAAGAACTTAGTGATGGGTTAACAAGGTCAATTTTACTCCCAAGTAACTCAGCAGTACCGCCTGCCCTCCCAATCCGGCCCCATCCCCTACCAGGGGCAAAGTCGACCTGTCCTTCACAGGCTATGACATTCAGGGGGCCAGTGCCATTTAAACCTTCATGTCCCCAAATGCTTTACCCTCTAGTTGCCTGTGCAAATTCATGGCATAAGGCTTTTCCTGGATTATAAACTCTTGAAGGTCGTGGCTTAGACTTTATGCATCCTTGTTTACCTATCAGCACTTTTCGCATGTTTCCCACTATACGTGGAGGAGAGAGAAGACAAGTGACCATGCAAGCAAGGGCAGTTCAGTGTTCACTTGATAATGAGTCATGAATATGGCCTGAGAGCAGGGATATTTCTCTTTCCTCCGTGACAACCCCCAAAGGCTTGTCACACTGCTGAATGCCCTCCTATGTGCATAGGGGCCAGCTCTCCAAGATATAAAGGATGTCCAAAAAAAAAAGAATAAAAATAAAAGCATAATGAGCATTCCCTCAAGCAAAGAACTAAGCACTCCCTTTTGTGTTTCCTCCCTTGCAAAGGGGCAAGGGGACCCTAATTTTGCAAGGCTTCAGAAAGAGGGTGCAGAGGGGCAATTGTTTCGAGGTGGCAATCACTCCTCTGTGAACTCCTCCTCCGTCCCAGCCTCTGCCAGGCAACTGCCAGTGATTTCTGAAGAATGGACTCCCCTCCACGCACACTCCCGGCCGCTTCCTTTCGCTCCAGGCTGGTGTTTTCATTTCGGGCAACTGTGCATACCAATCAGCTAGACGAAGTTCTGGGAAGGGCCTGTCAGCACCATTTTGTCTTGTTTCAGCCGTGGACCCCAAGGTTGTTTCCATTGCCAACCGAGTCGCTGAAATCGTTTATTCCTGGCCGCCGCCAGAAGTGCTCCACAGCCAGGGAGGAACCTTCAAGTCCAGAACGATTGTGGCACGCCAGGGTCTCCAGCACCAGGGCTTCCAGCCTACAGCTGCAGGTGGGAAGAGTGTTTGCAGTGGGCTGCCTGTCTGCCATGCAGAGGTCTACAGCATTTATGTACTTACACAGCTCAGGGCTCTGCAACTTAGGAATCTCTGCTAAGCTGGCCTCAGGGCACGACAGCAACACTCTGGAGGCACTGACCTTCTTTAGCTTGAGACCAGCCCAGGCCAAGGCGAGTATGCCAGCAGCTGGAAGCAACAGGCCAAACTCACTGCTAAGTCCAAAGCAAAGTCTCCTACTGAGGGGCGGGAGGAAGCCTGCACTCAACCTTGTCCACAGGGGGAAATGCAAGTTAGATTTCATCACGTTAGCCATGGCCAAGGACCCGTGTACTCGAGCAAGTGCACAGGGTATAGTTGGAGCATCGCCCGGGGATTTATGATATTGCCTTGGGCTGCTGTGAAAAAGCAGGGGGTTGTCAGGTACCAGGTCTGGGGCAAAACGTGAAGCAGAACTGAGAAGTAGTGATCAGACTGGGTCAGTTGTCACCAAACTATACCAATAGGTAGGACTGTGGATCGCATCCGACTTGCAGGAATTCTAGAGTTGAGGGAAGCAGGACCAAGGGCCACAGGAAGAGAACGTCAGTCTGGCCATTCCCTCGTTAATGACTATCCTGCCCGTGGTTCTCGTTCCCAAACTCCAGTGATGATGAGGGTCCTAGCTGGCCCCTGAGTTTGCAGTACGCCAAAACAGAAGGCAAAAGATTGATCTGCAAAGGTGGTGGTGTCTCCCAAGCTCAGAAGCAAAGTGCTGAGTTTGTCCACCCTGTGCTGTGCTGCTGGGACCACAAACTACCAAAGGGGCTTAGAGAGTGAGGCGCTGGGAAAGGAGGACCCTTCTGACAGCAAAAAACAGTGTTCCAACTTTATTGCCATCTCATGTGTGCCTGGGCCTCGTAAAGCAATACCCCTAAACCAAGCAAAAGCTCAGGCTCTCATCCTTTGCACGCATGAGACATTCAGGCTACTGTTCTAGCAACTTTCCTGGAGAGAGGCGGCAGCGTCAGATTAAAAACTACACGTGGGCGGTGGAAGCATGCAGTCCTTCTTTTCCCAGGTGACTTGGGTCTCAGACTTCCTACCACCTTGCCCTTCACTCGACCTTGTGGGATGTATTTCCTGGCCTCTCCTCCCCTCTCCCTCTGGGACAAACATGAGGACTCCATGACATCAGAGACTGCGCCATAAGGAAAAAGGGCCGTCTCTGTTTGGATTCCGCTCTATAGCAACGACCGTTTTCCTAATGTTGCATGTTAGCACATTTTGAGACAAGAAAAATCAGACTCCACCTTCCCTGTTCCAACACACACACCAACTGGGGCCACCTCTCTCTCTGTCTGCCATGTTAGCCTTTGGGGTGGGAGACCTTATTCATTTTATTTACTTATACTCCACCTTGTTGTAAAGACACAGCACACAAAGTACACATTTTAGTAAGATAAATCAAATTTGAAAGATACTGTAAAAAGAAAACAGTAGGAAAATAGGTGGGTTTAGGAATGAGTTTAATTCCCCAAATGCAGGAAGACTATACCCCCCCCCCCCCCCCCCCCCCCCCCGCCTTAGGAGGCCACAGTTCGGCTCTACAGTTCCTAGCAGCTAACACAAAGGGGTGAGATGATCCAGTAGGGGTTTATGGTGTCTATATGGAAAAAGCACCATATGCTCAGCACAAACCCAAAGACCGAGAGAAACTGCTCCTAAATATCTTTAGAGATAAGCTCATGTATCTTCAACAACATTTTTACAGTAAATAAAGTGATGAGTTTCACGGTGAGAACTGTGGGAGCGCTGGGGGAAGAAAGAGAGGAAAGGAGGGGACTGTGGGAAAGGGTGTCTGGAATGGTTTGGGCCTGATCAGAAGAGGCAAGGTAAGACTTACTTTGTTGAGAATTATGAAGGGCATGTCTTCCTCAATCCCTAACCAGGCTACAAGCATTGTCCCTGGAAACATTTAAGATTGTTTTTTCTTAAAAGAAATAACTGGAATTTTCCCCTGGCAGACGGAAAAGACCAGATAATAGCCAGAATCATTGAGCTGCTGAAATATTCGGGGGATCAGTTGGAAAGAGAGGTAGGGAGCTTCTCGAACTAACGAGTTTTCTTTCTGCGTCCGCGCGCTGGTACCCAAGGATGGAACTGTACTGCTGCTTGTGCTCCTTTGCAAAGTTCTGGTTTCCACTTAGTCCTAAATTTTATTTCCCTTGGACTCAAAACTCTTCACGCTGGCAGCATCTCAAAAATGAATCACTTTGGAAAACATAAGTAAACCTTCTGGAGCCTCCTTGGAATTTTTGGAAATGAAAAAAGTAACTTTGTTTTTGCAGGAAAAAGACACCAATAAATTAAAATTTGCTGACTAGAATTATGAATCTAGTTCCCCATGTAACTGATCCTCAGGGAAGTTTAGACCCTTGCATTTGCCCTGCAGCCTGGATATCTGTGTCCCACAGCTGCTCCAAGTCTGGAGTCTTGTCTGAAATCTCCCCCTAGAAAGGCCGGACTGTTCTCTCTCAGCAATTCGGCCAGGGGGCAGGTTAGTGTTAACTCGGAGAACTTGGAGTTTCCTGCCATTTAGAAGTTGAGACCAGTTCTTCCCATCAGGAACGTGTAGGAGTTACCTTCAGGTAAAGAGGTAGTGAGCAGGCCCCCCTGTAGTCAGGGCTTCTCAAGGGATCTTGTCCGTGTCTGCCGCCCACTGACGGCTGCATGGTCTCCAGCATCTGTGCATCAGGGGCTGGCCTGTGGACCCATTCCTTCGTTTGGCCAGGATCCATGGGGAGGAGTCAGGTCTGTGGGGACTCTGCAGGAGGGGGAAACAGCACTCACTGGCTAGCCAGCCAGCCCAGTCTCAGCATGCTCTGTGGCTCCTCGACGCCTTTGTCACAGGCGTGCCCAGAGGATGGTGACCAGGACAGGGAAGGGCAGGTAAGGTGGTGCAGAATGAGAAACACTAAGGAAACACTGAGGACCAAAGAAAAGAGAAGGGGGTCTGGGAGCTTCAGGGCCACAGTATGGGGTGGACAGGGGTGCAGAGGAAGCAGAAAACAGAAGAGGGCACATGGTTTTAAGGACACCCCTGTGTTTCTCCAGAACTAACACTGATAGGAGTTACGGGCAATTGATTTCTCCCCACTTTAAGAATGAACTTTCTAGCACTCAGTGCTGTCCATCGAAGCCAAGGGCTGCCTTGTGAAGAAATGATCTTCCTGTCTCTAGAAGAATTCCAAGTAGATGCCACTAACCAGCCCACAGTTCAGTACTTGAACTAGGAAGGATCTGACAGGTGTGCTCAAGGATTCCTTACAGCTCAAAGTTGCTGTGGCTCTCACTGCCGTCTCCTTCCCGGCCTCCCCCCCGGGGGAAGGAACTTGGCAGTAGGTCAGGGAGGCCAGGGACGGGGGCGTGGTATGAAGGTTGACCCTTCTGGTTATGAAGAGAGATGCTTTCCTTTTCACCCCACAAATTACCACTTTAAAAACCTCACTTTGCCTGACGCACTCTCTTGATGATTTGGGGGCAATCATTTACATTATTTATGTAGAAAACATGGTGGTGGTTCTCTTTATGTGGTTCCCCCGTAGAGGACTCTGGTGGGAACACACAGAAGCTCTACTCGTGCTCTGTGGGTGTTAAGTTCCCCACAGAATGGGACAGTGACAAGGAGGAGGGGACCTGCCACGTCTGCAGAGTGTCTGCAAAGCCACTCATCCCCGAGGGCACTTGCGGGCTCCTCCCACACCTCCCTGAGATGCCAGAAAGCCAGGTGCAACCGCAAGGGGCAGGGGGGCAGAGTGGGTACCTGTGGAAGGGGTTTCCTTCTGGCGTTTCATTCTTTTACTGTGCTGGCATCGTCCTGGATTCCAGCCGCCCGCTGGAGGTTTCGAGTCTACCTTCTTCCATTGGGTCATGACTAAGAGGAGTCCATTCTTGGTGTCGAGGATGTTCCTGCTTCAGATTTATAATTCAAATAGGCCCCTGTGTCTCCTGGAAGTTGGGAGGAGGTGGGCTGGGCTCAGATAAAGGACACGGCTCCACTAAAAATCTTTATGTCGCATCTGACTCATCCCCAGAATACCCCTTTTAGAAACCATCTTGGTTGAAAACCTGCTCAGCTTATCATTCCTCAAGGACAGAACTAGTTGATTTTCAAATAAACATATAGTCCCTGATCATTGAGAAATTTGTTTTCACATGACAACCATCACTTTACAGACATTGCAAGGAAGGCCTTAGATGAGGATGATGTATGCTTGATGACACAAGCCCTGATTTTTCACAAGCAGAGGCAGGGACTTCCCTGGTGGTCCAGTGGTTAGGACTCTACATTTCCACTGCAGGGGGCACGGGTTCGATCCCTGGTCGGGGAACCAAGATCCCGCATGCCTTGCGGCACGGCCAAAGAAAAGCATCTCGCATCTTGAAGCATCCTGGACAAATGCTAACACTGAGAGCACTTTCCGCCATGTTGAGCACAACATGTTTTACTCAATTACCCTGTAGTACAGGTACTGTCATCCCAGTATAGAGATGACAAAACTGAAACCGAGAGGTTAAGTTCTCCAAGATTGCACAGCTAGTAAGAGGTGTAGCAGGAGGGGTTGAGCCCGAAGACAGTGATTTCCAGGCTTCAGATTCTGCCCAGTACACAACCTCTAACAAAGCACTTTGCACTGGGTCACAACCGTCAGTAGACTGTGAGCCCTTTGAGTGAGGGGCTGAGTCTTAATGGTCCACAGTACCACCTGCTGGGTACTCAGCACTCAGGAAACATCTGTTGAATGTCGAATGAATGGGCTGTTCAGTTTGTATTTGTCCCCATGAAAGAAATTCACAGAGAAGGTCCATGCCCAATCTGGTCCTGCAGGACATGGTACCACGATTGAGACCAGAATTGAGGGTTTTCCATTGGGTGTTTCAGTTGCCCAGTGTCGAGTGGGAGAGTTTGCCTGCCTGGGCCAGGCTGCTATACTGACTGCTTCTCCTCTTGCACACAGTTGAAGAGAGACAAGGCTTTGATGAACAGCTTCCAGGGCGGGCTGTCCTACTCTGTTTTCAAGACCATCACAGACCAGTTCCTAAGGGGTGTGGACACCAGGGGAGAATCAGAGGTCAAAGCTCAGGGCTTTAAGGCTGCTCTTGCAATAGACGTCACGGCCAAGCTCACAGGCATCGACAGCCATCCCATGAACAGGGTGCTGGGCTTTGGAACCAAGTACCTGAAGGAGAACTTCTCGCCCTGGGTCCAGCAGCACGGTGGCTGGGTAAGTGCATCCTATTTAAAAATAAATCTTCCCAGAACTCAGAGGAGATGGGATGGAAAGGGGTTTTTTGGGTTTGTTTTTTTTAAGTGAAGGGAACACATCTTTGAAGCGGTTCTCATGGGTTTTGGACACTTGAGTGGCAAGAGATTTATCCCATTGATGGGAACATATTTTTTAGTGATTATCTTATCAATAAATATTTACTGAGGTCCCAAAGGGTATGTGGGGTATGTGTGTGGGGGGAGAGGGACTGGTCGGATATAACAGGAAATGAAGAGATGTTGATATAAAATGTTTAGATAGACATAATTTCTGTTTTCACAAATTTTGCAGGCAGCGGAAGTCTAGCAGTGAGAAAAGGACAGGCACATAGTTCCTTATTCTCTCAGATGCTGATGGGGTGCGGGTGTAATTCTCACGCAGAGGTTCAGGACTTATGACATTTTGCCATTGTTGCTTGGACCCAGCCATTTTGACAGGGACATTTTGATAACTGAAGCAGTTAAATTTTCATCTATTTTTAATTACCTGCTATCAGGCAAAACAGACCTCTCTACCCTGATTCCTCACCTCAACCCCTCTCCCATACTTTTCCCTTGAGATTTCCTTAAAACTGCCATGTTCAAATGGCCTCGTAACAGTAACCTTTTCAAAATGCTTTACCCCATCCAGAGCTCTAAATCTCAATACAGTTAAGTGCCCTACGTACGAACGAGTTCTGTTCTGAGAGTGTGTTCGTAAGTCCAACAAAGTTAGCCTAGGTACCCAGCTAACACAATCGGCTATATAGTACTGTACTGTAATAGGTTTATAATACTTTTCACACAAATAATACATGACACAAGAAATCAAGAAAGCATTTTGAATCTTACAGTACAGTACCTTGAAAAGTACAGTAACACAGTATAACAGCTGGCATACAGGGGCTGGCGTCGAGTGAACAGGCAAGAAGAGTTACTGACTGGAGGAGGGAGAGGAGGTGGAGCTGAAGGATCCTCAGCGATAGGAGACGGAGGGCAGCTGCACTTTCACTCATGCCCAACATTGACGGCACAGGTGCTGGTTCCTTGCTGGAACCAGATGCACGCTTGCATCTTTGAAAGTTCGCAACTTGAAGGTTCGTGTGTAGGGGACTTACTGTAGGCCAAGGGCATTTCTGTCTGTTCAAGCCCTTCTTAGGAGGACATACATTATCATTAGTCCTCTTTCCACGAGAGTGGTCCAGGGGCCAGGAGGCTTGAGTCTGCTCTGGACATGGCCCTGGGGCCTCCAAACAGGCTTAGTGTCTTGGCTGCCAGACGGAAAGTACAGCTGATCATGCCTAAGGGGCTGAAGTGTCCGCCATGGTCTCCAGTGGCTACCCATTAAGCAACCCAGACTTCTGTTCTTTCCTATTTTCCACTTTTGCACCAGATATGATAGCCCTTAAGTGGCTAATCTGAACAAGGCTCTTAGCTATTCTAAATTCAAGCTGCCTTAACTCATGCTAAGAAGAGGACAGAATCCTCAACATCACTTCAGCTTTAACTGCCCTTCCTTCCAGGACCCCCTCAAGTCCCCCTCTGCCCCAAGCCCTTCCGGACTACTCCGGCTCAAGACTCTTACCAGCCTCTGACCTTTTACAACACTTCACGTTTGCATTATGATTATATACAGGAAATTACCATCATTGTTGGTCTAGTTCATATATTTTTCCAGCGAGGTTATAAGTATCAATTGGCCTTACAGGCCCATTCTCAAAAGTCTATTTAGTTAATTAATGTAACTGAAACGCCAAAAGTGTTCTATAAAAAACGGCGTTTCTACACCAAAAGCAGAAGCGACAAAAGAAAAAATAAACTGGACTACATCAAAATTAAAAATATTTCTGCTTCAAAGGATACCATCAAGAAGGTAAAGAGAAAACCCAGAGAATGGGAAAAAATATTTGCAAATTATATATCTGATAAGGGACTTGTATTCAGAATATGTAATAAATTCTTACAACTCAACGATAAAAGACAAAAAACCCCGCAATTTTTTTAAATAGGCAAAATCGATTTGAATAGACATTTCTTCAAAGAAGATATACAAATGGCCAATGAGCACATGAAAAGATCCTTGCTTGCCATCTTCATTTCTACATTAGGGAAATGCAAATCAAAACCACAATGAGATACCCACTAGCATGGCTAACATAAAAAAGACAAGTGTCAGTGAGGATGTGGAGAAATCTGAATCCTTATACATTGCTGGTTGCACTCTAAAATGGTCAAGCCCCTTTGGAAAACAACTTGGCAGTTCCCCAAAAGGTCTATACCCAAGAAAACTGAAAACAAGTGTTCACATAAAAACTTGTACATGAATGTTCATAGCAGCATCATTAGTCATAATGACCCCAAACTGGAAACAATGAAGAAATTTATCTATGATGAATAATGAATGGAAAAACCAAATGTGGAATATCCATACAGTAGAATAATATTTAGCCATAAAAAGGAATAAAGTATGGAAAGGTGGATGAACCTTGAAAACACTATGCACAGTGAAAGAAGTCAGACAGAAGGGCCAAATATTGTATGATTCCATTTATATGAAATGTCCAGAATAGACAAATTCATAGAGACAGTGGTTTCCTAGGGCTTTGGGGAGAGAGAACGGGGTGTGACTGCTGACGGACACAGAGGTTCTTTTTGTGGTGATGAAAATGTTCTAAAATCAGATAGAAGTGATGGCTGCACAACTTCGTGAATATACTAAAAGCCACTGAATTATATACTTTAAGAGGTGAGTTTTAGGTATGTTTCCAAAAAATCTGTTATGAAAAACAGTGGTTCTGGGCTTCCCTGGTGGCGCAGTGGTTGAGAGTCCGCCTGCCGATGCAGGGGACGCGGGTTCGTGCCCCGGTCCGGGAGGATCCCACATGCCGCGAAGCGGCTGGGCCCGTGAGCCATGGCCACTGAGCCTGTGCATCCGGAGCGTGCGCTCCGCAGCGGGAGAGGCCACAACAGTGAGAGGCCCGCGTACCGCAAAAAAACAAAACAAAACAATGGTTCTAATTCTAGTAAGCAAATAAAAAGAGGAAAGAAAAAAGAATATAAAAAGTTTTATTAGTTCTTAATTTGGTTGCTAGTGCTAGAGAGAAAAACAGTTCCAATCAGAGAAAACAGATGGATGTTTTGGGGGTAGAAATAATAAAGGGAATTTTCAAAGGCTTTAGAATTTTGTGGCACTAGTTCTTTAGCACTTGTATTTTCAATTCAAAATGTATTAGTTTACTTTTCCAGGTCATCATAAATCTTATCTTAAGTCTTGGCCACAGTTAGGTTTAATTTGGAGCACGTAGCTAGAAATTAGGAGAGGGAAGAAAAAGAATAAGAGGGAAAGGACTAATTTTTTCCAAAGTTGCAGAGACAGAGTTGCAAAAAATAAAGGATGCTGCTGGAAGAATATTTACGAGTTGATACGAACTATGAAAGTGTGGAGGCGGGAGGCTCAGTCTCCCAGAACAGGAAAGAGATGAATCTGGGTGGCAAGCCTTCCATTGCCCCAGGGATGTTAGTGGCTCTCTGGAGTGTCCTTGTAGTGTGGTGCGGAAGGAGAAAAACTATTCCTAGGCACACGTTTTTCCAGGAGCTCAGGGTTCCTAATTATCTTAGTCGTCCACATTTCATAGAAGTGCATCGCATCTTCCCAATGGAACTGCAAATCTGTGAGGGCAGAATTATGTATTTCATGCCCCTTTTTCTCTCTCATAGTTTCCATTACTTTTACATAAGTCATAGATGTTCAGCCAATACTTGTAGAATAATGAGTCGATCAAATGAATGAACAGCGACTCTATCCACAAAGCATGCCAAACAAGCCACCATTTGATTTTAATTTATTCCTTGGCCTTTTTGCTTCGCTTGAAGCATCATTCACATCGTTACCCTGTGGTTCTGGCAACCTCACCCCTTCTACAGCACTTTGGAAGAAGAGGTTTGCCACCTCCATAGTCATCAACCTTTCAGTATCTACTCTTTCGAATTTAACCATAGAATCAAAGACTTTTCCCATCTAGCCAGTTAGCCCTGGGTGTGTCACATAAGTCCTTAGCTGATAAAGTTTTCCTTTCAGGCATACCCAGGATGCCAGTCACCTTTCCAAACCCTCCCCCCAACCTTAACATGGTCTCCAAGCCTTGGGTCATGCCTGGGATAAGAAAGCAGAGTTAACAGGCATATGTTTTCACTTCAACAGTGAATCAAACTTGGAATTTTAAGAATCTATTTCTCTTTCTCCCCCCCTCTAGGAAAAAGTACTTGGGATATCACATGAAGAAGTAGACTGAAACATCAGAGGATTTGTAATCTGGAATACTCATGGTCCAACTCTGGTCTTGTGTATATCCGTCTTAGCAGACTATGGGAGAAAACAAAAATGGACAAGGCAGATGGACCATCAAAATCTGCAAAACCATTATTCCTGCAAATCAAGAGGCATCAGGAGAGGCCTTGAAATCTCCGGCTCATAGAATCTAGTAGCATGGCCCTCGGCATCCATGTTTTCAGGTCTCCATTGAGTGTGTAAGGAAGTCTCGAAAGGCAAGTGGTAATTTTCCATTCAAATGCTTAGAACAGAAGCCATCACCCTGCCTCTGCCGGCCACTTTAGTGAAAGTGTGTGACACATGTTTGTTGACCTCATGAAGGTGAAATGATAAACGGTGCATTTGCTTACTCTTTGGTTTCCAGTACTATTTATTTTTCAAACTTCACTTGAGATGGCCCGATAATGACATTGTTTCAAGCCTACCTTTAGGCCCATGTGGCTGTTCGTGTTGGTAGACAGAGCTCAGAGACTCCTGAGTTTACTGCTGTAGCCTGGGGAGAGACTGCCGTATCTGCTTTTATTCCCGCCCCCCCCCCGGTACGTGGGCTTCTCACTGTTGTGGCCTCTCCCGGCTCTGGACGCGCAGGCTCAGCGGCCATGGCTCACGGGCCCAGCTGCTCCGAGGCATGTGGGATCCTCCCAGACCGGGGCACGAACCCGTGTCCCCTGCATCGGCAGGTGGACTCTCAACCACTGTGCCACCAGGGAAGCCCCGTATCTGCTTTTTGACTCACTTCTCTTGGAGAATTCTTTGGCAGTTTGAAAAACTTCCATTTGGCAGAAAATTACTATTCCTATCACCCTCAACTATCTCAGTGACCCCACCTCTACTTCTCGAGGTTTCTAGGCCTTTGTTATTTTTTGCGGTAATGATTAGTGGTTGGTAAAATAAATATGCAGAAAGATAACTGTCAAAAGGGTATGTTTATGGTTAAAATAGACAGTAAGTAAGAGTATACGATTTCTGTGAGGATCATATAAGTTAATTTATATCAAGCGCTTAGAACAGTGCTTGGTATTTAGTGCTGTATTCACTTATGTCCACTATCATGTGCTGCCCTCAGCTAAGCTGAAAACTTCCTTTGCTTTCAAAGCAGTCACTGATAGTTTTTCTGAAATTGATACTGTTCAGAATGAGGCTTTTTAGTAAGTGAAGTATGTTCCATAGTGGGTGTTTAAGACACAAAACAATTTTTAAAAATACTATCAAATTAGAGTCTTACAAATTTCTGGCTCCCTAGCGCCCAGCACGTAGCCTGATGTAAAGCAGGAGTTTAACAGACCTTTGATGAACAAATAAATGAATGAGTTTATCAGACATGTTTTCAGCTTCAAGGGAAGATTGGAGCTATCTATGATCACGTGCTTCACTACTCTACTCTGGACTAAAATGAGCTATTCTCTTCTACCTTCTTCCCCCTACAGTGAAACTCACAAATTTTCGGGCTAAAGGAGTTTCCTCTTACAGATGGAGACACTAGAGACCACCTCCTCTCCATTCCAAGCTATTTGCAGTTCCCCAAATGTATTATGTAACCTTGTACCTCTGAGCCTCATAACATTTTCCCCGCTTGGACTATTCTTATCTGTCGGTCCTCTTTCCCCCGTTTTCCCTAATCCAACTAATTCTAGCCCATTTTTGCAAATCCATTCCTTCATTTTCTCCAGGAAGCATTTACTAACCCTCCCTGGGCCACCATGAGACTATATTTGGATGCCTTTCCTCATAAGGATGTTCCATATCACCCTGTATAGAGACATTATACCTAATCCATTGTATCATAAAAATGAGTCTTTTGCACTGGATTATAAATTATTTTGTAAACAACTGTTATGTCTAATTTAACTTTGTATACCTAATGCCTGGCATATTTTTAGTGCACATTTGCAGAATCACACCCTAGCCTCACTGCTATAACCTGTAAATCAGTAAGGTTGGAGCATGGCCCAAGGTATGTGTAGTTTTAACAAGCTCTCCAAGTGTTCCAATATCATCTGCAGCTTCTAGCCAAGATGAAGTACTAGTAACTGAATTTAATCTCCTGCTAAAAACAACTGAAAAACAGATGAAATATATATATAAAAAACCCAGTTATCAACACATTGTGCATCAGGTAATGAAGGACTTGGTCCCTGAGAGATGAGAAAAGAAGTGAGCCCAGTGATTGCCGTAGATTACTGCAGGCAGAGTTCCCAGGTCACGCTGCAAGGAAGGGAGCCCACACAGGGCTCAGCACTCTCCCTGAAGAGAGGAGATACAGCCTGGGAGTCCAGGAAGGCCAAGGCAGCTGAAGTTTGTAGGGCAAATGGAGAGAAGATGGCACACCAAGCTCCAGAGATCTGCAGACAGCTCCCCTCAAGTTTTCAGACGAACGCTCATCAACGTGGGCCTATCAAGAAGTAACCCAAGGCTTGGGAAAGAAACGCCTGAAAACATGAAGTGGCATAGACTCTTTCAGGCTCACACAGGGCTGGGAGCAGTGCCTATTTCCACTGAGCAGAATGGAGAAACCTCAAAATCCACATGGCAATAGGCGGAAGAATTCTGCCTCCGTAGTGGGAAAAAATTAGCCCTAGACTAAACATACTTCTGGTTCTCTCCAACAAAAGCAAACAGCAAGTACCAAAAGGACTAAGCTGTTCTCAAGTAATTTAGCTGTGTTCCAGAACAAAGCTCAAGAATATTTAAAGGATCACAAGACTACCCAACACCCAACAGGTAACATTCACAGTCAGCATCCAATACAAAAAAACTGCAAGGCGTGTAAAGAAGCAGGAAAATTAGACCCATCATGAGAAAATTAAAAAAAAAAAACAGAGCTGATACAGCTGATATACTTATTCTACAATAAAGATGGAACCATCTTTATTGTATTGCATATGTTCAATGAGCCAGAGGAAAGACTGAACGTGTGAAGTACACAGAACCTCACATAGAAATTATAAATATGACTCAAATCAAACTCCTAGAGAAGAAATCTATAACTCTGAGATGAAAAATATACTGGATCGGATTAACAGCAGACTAGACATTGTAGAAGAATAGATAAGTAAACCTGAAGACATACCAATAGATTCAAACTAAAACACAGAGAAATAAGACTGGGGGAAAAAACAACAGAGCAACAGTGACTTGGGAAATGACTTCTACCAGCCTAATATATGTGTAATTGGAGTGAAAATTTTCCAAATTTGATGAAAACTATAAATCTACAGAACCAGGAAACTCAATGAATGCCAAACACAAAAACACGGAGAAAACTAAGGCACATCATAAATTGCTCAAAAGCAGTGATGATGAAAAAAAATCTTAAAAGTAGCCAGAGAAAAAGGCTCATTACATACAGAGAAACAAAAATAAAAATGACAGCAAACTTTTCTTGGGAAACAATACAAGACAGAAGAAGAGTATTAACTTTAAAGTATGAAAAGAAAAAAAACCTGTCAGCACAGAATTCTATACTCAACAAAAAGATGATTTTAAAAAGGAAGGTGAAATAAAGATTTTTTTGAGAAGTACAAAAAAAAAAAGAATTCCTCACTAGCAGAACTGAACTATAAAAAATGTTAAAGGAAGTCCTTTAGGCAGAAGGAAAATTGTATCAAATAGACATTTATATCTACAGAAAAGAGTGAGCACTGGAAATGATAAGTACAATAAAATACTCTTATTCTTATTTGAATCTCTTTTAAAGATAATGGACCATTCAAAGGAAAAATAATTGTAGGGTTTATAATATGTAGAATAAAATGTGTGACAATAAGTACAGGGCTGGGAAGAGAGAGATGGAAGTATAATTGTAAGATTCCATACTATATGTGAAGTGTATAATTTCACTTGAAAGTAGACTGTGGTAATTTTAAAATACACACTATACAACTAAAAAAAAATCACTAAAACATATACACACATATACACTTACACAAGACTCACAGCTAATAAGCTGACAAAGGTGATAATATGCAATCATAAAAAATAATCCAAAAATAAAGCAGAAAAGGAGGAAAAAGGGAACGAAGGACAAATAAGACAAAAAGAAAACAAATAGCAGGTGCTGGAATATTAAACCAAACCATATCAATAATCACAATAAATGAAAATGGTCTAAACATCCCAATAAAAGGCAGAGATTACTAGATTAGAAAAAAAATCCAGAACTAGCTATATGCAGCCTACATAAAACAGCTTTAAATACAAAGATATGATTATGTTAAAAGTAAAAGAAGGTAAAAAGAAATACTGTGATAACCCTAATCAAAAGAAAGGTGGAATGACTATATTAATATCAAAGTAGATTTCAGAGCAAAGAATGTTAATATTAGTGTTAATTAGTATTAATGCAATTTAATAATAATAAAGGGGTCAATTCATCAAGAGGACCTAACAATTGTAATGTTTATGTATCTTCTAGTGTGTGTGTTTTTTCCCCACACCACCAAGAATTCTCCAACACCAGCTGGGTATCCCACAATTCGACTCAATTCTGACACTATCTACCCATGACAGATCCCACAGGTTAAGGGCTAAGCTCCAGGAGACTGGCTCCCCAACAACACACACTTCAGATGCCAATTGTTAAGTCCAGACTGTCACCTGGGCTTCTGACCAACAGGCTATAATCAGAAGTTTCTATGACCCCCTCCTTGGGTTCAATTAATTTGCTAGAACAGCTCACAGAGCTCTGAGAAACATTCTACTTACTAGATTATTATAAAAGGATATAACGCAGGATATAAGCCAGATGAAAAGATGCACAGGGCTAGGTACGGCTGCAGAGCTTCCATGCCCTCTCCAGGAGCATCACTCTCCCAGCACTTTCATATGTTCATCAACCAGAAGCTCTCTCAACCCTGTCCTTTTGGGTTTTTATGGAGGCTTCATTACAGAGTCACGATTGATTGAATCACTGGTCATTAGCAACTGATTCAACCTCCAGCCCCCCTCCTCTTCCTGGAGGTCAAGTGTTGGAACTTACAGTCCCACCCCTCTAAGCAGATAGATGGTTCCCCTGAAAACCAGCCCCCATCCAAGGTTACCTAGGGGCTTTCCAAAGTTAACCATATTATTAACAAAAAGATACCTTTATAGCTCTCACCACTAAGAAAATTCCAAAGATTTTAGAAGCTCTGTACCAGGAACAGGGACAAAGATCAAATATATATTTATTATTATAAATCACAATATCACAGCTTCAAATACACAAAGCAAATCACAGTATTAAACAACTTCAAAATACACAAAGCAAAAACTGATAGAATTCCAAGGAGCTATAGACAAATTCACAATTATAGTTGGGGATGTCAATCTCTCTCAATAGTTAATAGAACAAGTAGACAATCAGTGAGGATATGGTAGACTTCAATACTACCAACCCACTTGATCTAATTGACATCACAGGGCTTCCCTGGTGGCACAGTGGTTAAGAATCCGCCTGCCAATGAAAGGGACACAGGTTCGAGCCCTGGTCCGGGAAGATCCCACATGCCACGGAGCAACTAAGCCCATGCGCCACAACTACT